CTCCCCGGCGGCCGCCAAGAGGGTACCTGACTCCCGGCAGCGGAGACGGTGGAATCCGAGGCTGTGCCCGGCACCCCGAGAGGAACACACGGGAGGAGGGAGTAAAGGGGGGTTTGGGGGCGGGCCCGACAGACAGACCGACTCCAAGGGAGCCGGGTGGGAGTGAGCTGGGCCCTGCAAGGGGGCGCTACCGCCGCCCACCGACCGAGGCGCACCGTGCTGCTGTGGGGCCGCCCGCGCTGAGCCCTGGGCTCAACTCCCAGGCCGTGGGTTGGGGCGGGGTAGAAACTGTGTACGCGCGTTGCCCACCACTCCAGCTGCTTGCGGGGCTGGGAAGGGCAGGCCCGCGCCAGGCGGGGCGGTGCCTGGGAGGACGTGCGAGTTCACTGCCGGGCCGCACGTGGCGCTCACTCCTGGGGCCCGCCCGCCCCTCTGGGCGCCTGCGCTGAGAGAGTGAGGCTCTGCCCAGGCTGCTGCCCAACTTAGGTTCGCTTGCCTGACCATTCAGGGCCAAGCCACGTCCAGCCTACTCCCCAGAGTGTTTCTGTGCTTGCCTGCAGGTGCCTGGCAACTTTTTCTACTTAATGGAAAGCTGAGTTAGTCTAAATTTAACTTTAACGATATCCTTTTTAAAAAATAATAAGAAACAATTATCTTCCCTAAGGGTTTTCCTCTCTCTTATAAGCATGAAGGCTTTGTTTGCAAGAAAGAAGGTCCATAGTTGGGCCAACCAAATGGCGTTTTTAGTAGGTGACCCTGGGAAATACTGGGTGCAGAAGGTTATTTTTACAAAAGTCTCTTTTCCCAAATGTCTTGGGAAGTCATCATTCTCACACTTGCAGATTGGGAACGCTTGGGACTAGAAGCAAAGCCAGTTCTGGATCCAATTCCTACGTAGGCCCCAACTAGGCTGGAATTACAGTGCTATTGCTGAACTAGGGGTTCCTGAGCTACCCAGTCATACTAGCTAACCCAGCTGGGTGAATCCTATGCAACTCATTTATCTTCCCTCAACCTTAGATTCTCCATCTGTAGAATGGGGTGAACAGCACCACCTCCGACAAGCGAGTGAGTAGTTGTGAAAACTGAATGAAACTTGCTGGTGGTTGTCTGAGAGCAAAACCAGATGAAGCAAAACTTTGCTCTGCCTGGGAGCAGAGGCCTTGGAACTGTGTTATTTATTTTTTAATGTGTTATAGGATGTTTATGCTCGCCAGCGAAAGACAGAGAGTAAGAGACAAAGGAAAGTGAGAAAGCACCCTTAGCTACTTCCCCAGGCCAGAGGTGTGGGGGGGGGGCGGAGAGGAAGGAATTGCCATGCTGCAATCCCTACTCAGGATTTGGGACATACATGCACACATGCCCCACCGGTTTTGCAAGCTACCAAGTCAAGGACTCCAACTGTGTTGTTGGCCATGTGGGATCCTGCTGCCTTATCCTCCATGTCACCTAGATGACCCAAGAACTGTCTTATTGTAATGTATGCAGCCTTAGTTGAGGAATATTTGCTTCATCAAGCTTCTGGAGGCCATGAGAATGGTGCACCCACTGCCGTGTGTTCCTGATCTCCATCTCCCCACAAAGCTCTGCGTAGGGGAAGCTCTCATCCCTAACTGCCGGTGAGACAGGTGAAAAGCAGGACTCTGGAATTACTATTCTGGGAAGTTGATGTCTCCAAGATGGAAGAGCCTGCTTAGCGCTCCTGTGCTTGTCTTTCAGCCACAGAGCAGCCATAACCCCAAAGTGTTTTCAGCCAGGCTTAGGTAAGAAGGTTTGGTTGTGAACAACAGTGGAAATCAAACAGCCCCAAAAAGCTAAACACTCTTGCCTGCCTATCTCAAGATTCAGCTGAGCTCTCAGACCCCTGGGAGTGGTCCAGCATTGGCCCTATGTTAGAATCCTATTCACAGAGCGGTTGGGATGGGCGCCCCAAGCACTGTTTTGGCTGGCCCATGTCCAAGTAGATTACCACCATGGGAAGCTTGGAGGGGGAAGGGTCTGTATAGCAAGAGATCCCACCCCCACAGTGTCCCAAACTCTCTGGGTCTGTTCCAGGAGCCTCCTCCTGGACCTGCAGGGTTGGGCCTGCAAAGTATTCTGCGGCAGGCTCTGCAGGGGACCCCTATGCAAGCCACTGAGCTGCTGTCGGCTCCAGGCAGGAGCTGCAGCACTGGAGTCCATTGCTCAGCGCTTTGTGATGCTGCTTCTGAGTAACAGATGGCAGACAGTTACACAACACCACCGCCAAGCTTTCGAGATGGTGCAGCACCACACTGCCTGCTGCCGAGGTGCCGAAGTGCCTCACTCTGGCTATTTGGCATATGGGGAAACCGAGGTACTGGAGTGAGGGTAGCTCTATGCAGGGCTGTAATACTTGGGAGAGTGGGGATTTCCCTCCCAGGTGCTGCTTCTTGAATCATTATTTTGTTCTCTACCCAAATGGAGATTTCCTGGACCCATGGAAGCTGTCAAGGGATTCCATTTTTGCTAAGTGTCATTACCTGATGTAGCCAGAGGACATATTAGTCTAGGTTATTAAAGTGGTAAATGTCATTAGAATGAAATCACTTTCAAGTGGGACTTCAAACATTTGGAAGCCAGATGAGTCTCCAAGTAGGAACCAACCCTGTAGGTCTCTCCTGAACCCCAGCTTATCCAGGGGTGCCCCCACACTCAGGAGACTATTGAAGACTCTTCAATAACCAGCTTAAGTAATGCAGAGCACTGTTGATCCCAGTGGGAGATTAGCTATTATTGGCAATTAATCCAAGTTACACTTTTCTCATCACAGTTTATACGGGGAGGAAAGGCTCCTGGTGAAAAATTCAACACGGCAGAAAATAAGAGAAATAAGTAGACTTGCAATTAGGACTATCCTGGTGCCCTAAAATGGATTTACCTTCCTGGTCTTGATATTCTTGAGCAAGTCTTCATTTCTCTGGGCCTCAGTTTCCCCATCTATAACATCATGTTCTCTCCAAGACCCTCCTAGCTCACACATTTAGGGTCTTAACCTTCCTCATCCATGAATTAAGACTCCTTTTGCCCCTCCTGTCGTTGGCAAGTTCTGTGTAAGCTGTTCTCTCCTCACAGTCGAAGACATTAGAGAGCAAATTGGGTATCGGAGCAGATGTGAGTCATTCATGTTAGTATAAAAACTATGGAATAAAACCCATTATGGTCCCGGAAAGCTGTGTAAAGCAGCATATGGAGCAAATGTAAGCTGGAAGCAGGAGGAAGCTGTGAAGTCCGATGCCTGTGCACTCCGGCGGTGCTGCCTTTGCAGTGGGTTTTGACACTTTGCTTTTCGTTTCCTTTAGCTGTCCTCCTGTCATTCTCACTCAGCTCACTGCAGAGCCTTCAGCCTTTGTTCCTTTCGGATCAGATTCCCCAAGTCCCTCCTCTCTGCCCACTGTGCGACTTCAGGGAGAGAGTGCGTGTGCGGCTGTGTGTGTCTTGCCATCTGCACGCTTATTAGACCTGTCATGACCAGCGAGGTGCCCTTGGTGCCAATCTAATGAAATTTCACCCACAGAGGCCCAGGCAGGTTTCTATTGAGGTCTTTCCACGTCTGGGCCTTAGGGAAAGGTAAGCGGCGGCAGGGCAGACTGCAGCACAGCAAGAAGAGATGCAGGCATGCTGGTCCAGCTTGGCACGGTTCCCTGGTAGCAAAAAAGGAAAAAAAGAGCAGCAGTGAGGATTCAGAGATGTCTATCTTTAACCCATGTCATCCAGATTCAAGTCTTTGGCTGACCCTTGCAAACAGCTCTGAAATTCTCCAACTGGAAATAATATAATACATCAGCCCCCGTTTTCCCGGGCTCCTCTCCCTTTTCCTTGCCACTGTAGACCCTGTCAAGGCCACATATTCCAAATCTCCTGTGAGGCCTATTTATAAAATGAGTGATGGAATAGTTTAGGCAGAGTGGTAAATGAGAAATGAGCAAGTAGCTACCCCTTACCTCCTCTGTCTGCTACAGTAGTATGTCTTCATCAGAAGGGTAAAGCCAGCCGGCTTTTCTTCTCATCTTTGATGAGCAGATGAGTGGCTTTATCTAAGGGATCTAGTGGTCACTTTTCTGGATCTTTT